AAGCTGCACAGAAACATATGCAATCAATGATTTTCAGAACAATGTATCTGTACTTTGTTTATTTATATTAATTAATATAATTAATTACACATTACATTATAATTAATTACACATTTCTTGGCTTTCTCCTAACTAACTCAAGACAGCATACATGGCCTCCCTACACTCTGCTTTTTGTTGTGACAGAAGGCAAGGCTGAAGGAATATGCCTGGCTCAAGATCACCCTGCTGGTTTCATGTGTAAAGGAGATTAACCCAGGTCTCCTGGATATTAGTCAACATCCTGACCACACTGGCCCACTATTCTACTTGTTTATGCCTCTTCATTTTCTCTATAATGCACCCCAAAATGAAAGTTGAGCACATATTCCATGTGATTTTCATATGGCTCATTATTTCTTGATCTTCTCTGAAAGATGTTTCAAGTTTCTGACTCATATCTGTCTCTAAATCTATTCACAAACAGAAAGCAAATGATGCAGAAAAAGAGTTCTTAAGCCACAAAGCCAGAATGTGATGCTGACTGCTTGTTAATAGTACAGGGAAGAAATAAAACAGAGTTGTGGGAGTGAGTCAAGTGTTATCTTAGAGGGGGATGCCTATGTAGTACAAATATTTGTTGGAGAGCAATTGGCAAGAAATGGAAGAAGAATAAAGGTTCAAATAGAAAACCATGGGAATTACAGACTTGGATAGACAATTCATTTGTCAGAAATCATATCTGAGAGACAGAGTTTGCTTGATCATTGTAACATGGTAGAAACTAACCCCCACTCAAAAGCCACAAGCATTTCTTTAACTCACCTGCAATGCCACCTTGGAAAGCAAGGAGATATCTCCAGATATGTCATCGAACAGTAAGATGCTCTTTTCTGCTGGATTCTTACAGTCCTGCAAAAGGACCAAAACAAATGGTATTTGTTAATAGCTTGATTGGCATGAAACTCACAGAAATAGAACATAATACAATAAAGCAAGTTTCTCACTTTGTACTTGATGCATCATACAAGTCCAACACAATTCAAGGAAATGTAAAATGCTGCATGCAAGTGAAGGCTGACTGTAGAGACTAAGCTGAAGTTAAAGACGTGATACCCAAAAACAGTTTTCTCCTTAAAATCTAGGATTGTTCTCATGAAGCAGCACAGAAGACAAATGACATTCCATCAAAGCAATCAATGATACTTACTATGTTTTGTACAAAGAGATTAGGAAGAACTGGGCAATCAATTGTAGTCAAGATAAAGCATGCTAAAGTTTTCAAATGGAAACATGCAGGCCAAGCCCATAAAGAGGACACTAGAAATCCCAGGTTGCAAGGGCCAAACACAGTATGAATATTTTTTAAAAAATTAAAAAAATTCAGGTATTATTTATTTATTTATTTATTTATTTATTTATTTATTTATTTATTTATTTATTTAATTTATGTATAACCCGCCTATCTGGTCAATATGACCACTCTAGGTGGCTTTCAGGCATATAAAATACAGTAACATATATATATAATGAATAAAAAGTAAAAATCAATAATATACTATAAGCGATAAACAATAAGCAACAGACAATAAACAATAAACATATTCTTCAAGATGGCAATATAAAAAATAGATTAAAGAAGGAAAAATTAAGTGTTATCTGGAGGGAAAGCCTGCTTAAACATCTAAGTTTTTAGATGGGTCTTAAAAATACCCAGCGATGGGGCCTCGCGAATCTCTGGAGGAAGGTTGTTCCAGAGGCGAGGAGCCACCACCGAGAAGGCCTGATTTCTTGTTTCTTCCTTTCGGGCCTCCCTCGGCGTCAGGCTCCTCAGCCTCACCTCCTGACTCAATCATCTCATAAAATGCCAAACAGCCAAATACATTGGAGATAAAAGGGCGGCGGCGGCGGGGGAGAACTTGAGATAAATCATGCCTAGTAAAATGCATGGAATTCCCAGTACTTGGCAAGCCAGACCTAAAGATCAAAGTCCAACACAGTAAAATCTATGGGGAAAATGTTTTGGCATGGAGGAATCAGACTAATATTTAATCAACCATATATACCATCCAAAATCCATCAACCTAAATGTGCAATATACACATTTTAAAAAAAAATAAGTATGCATCACATTCTCTTTTTAAAATTGTGGTTAAAGGCAAATCACCAGAAATTAACAAAATAGAAAAAAAATCTGGTTGGTATCTAAGTTAAACTCTTAGCTCTTTCCACTTTTCTGTTGCATGATCATTTCCTACATCTTGTAGAGTTCAAGGTTATTTGGAGTTCAGCTTTACTCTGCTTGGTAGCAGAAGTAAACAGAAAATGATTTTTCCCCTGTAGTGTTTTTTATAGCCTGTGGGATAGTATACAAATATAAATACAGAAACAGATAAAATAGTTTATTTATTTTAATTCTTTATAAGAGTTTTTAAGACTGGCTACAGACAGATAGTATATTCCAATGTGTCAGTGGGCCCATCTGTCCATTTTGTTTACTAGTCATCTGAAGAGTTAACTAGGACTAGTCAGAACATGTAACTAATAACTGAATTTGCAAAGTGGAAGAATTGTTTACTTTTTCATCCCAGTGCTGCTACATTTTCCAACATACTGGGTAAGTGACTATACATCAGTGTTCAAAGGCATGCAGCTTGAAAAAACAGGAAGTCCAACTGAATTTCAGACCCTGATATCTACACTTTACATGATCTCAAGTAGTTGGATTAAGAAGGACCCTGTCTGAGACCTCAGAAAGCCACTGGAAGTTGGAACAGAATACAGCATGTGAGGGGTTTATAAGTCTAACATCTCTGATGAAAAAAGTATCGCCTACTGTGGATTGTTTGCCTACATAAGTGTAATACTAGAGATTGTGGTAGTGAATTGCCACTAATCAATCAGCTTTCACTTATATTCCTAGTCATGTACCAAATCACACAACTTGTGCATAACTAGAAATATGGATAATAACTTGCTAAATAGCAGCAATTGACTGCCACAATTTTTCCAAATTCACTTACACCACAATGGATTTCTGGCCATTTTTTTTAATCTGCTGAAATTTGTGACACACAAATGAAACAATATTTTAATTAGGCTGTTTGTATGTTCTCATTCAGTGTCAATTCTCATTCAGTGTCAGTTGAAAGAGATAGCTTGTGGTTTGTTGATGAACTTAAATGGTTCCTAGTTCTGGAAAATATGTGTCATTCTATAGGAGGCACATTCTCATTTTATTGTATCATTCTTCCTTTTTTATAATTTTTTCTGGGGTTGTCTATGTCCTGCTGATTTCCCACTGCACGCTTGTAATTATCATTTGTTCCATTACATTTCTTTCACATCTCTTCTTTATTTTTGTATAGCATTTATACAACATTCCTCAAAGCTCAAAATGCTTCACTTTGGGATGGGAATGGAAACAGCTAAAATGAAATTTATACTCATAGCTTATACACAAAGTGCATAGGCTCTACATTATAGCATCTCGTTAGTCTGTTTGCTCCTAACCAGCTTTTCCTGTCTCCTATAAGAAAAATGGTGGACTGTCCTAAAAGTTCAGAATGCATAGTTTGAAGTGCAATTGGGGGTGGGGCAGAGGGAAAATCAAATTTAAGAAGAACTTGTTACTTCCAATGATTTATTTGTCATGAGCTCCGAACGAGTTATATTAAATCTAATTTACAAGGTGAGTGCCAGGGGCAGAGGGAAATGATTTCTTTTTCACGCCAAAGGACTTAAAGGAGCTGAGTTTTGACATGAAATATACATCCAATTATTTATTTATCAGAAGTGCTTTGAATGATGGATCGGTATTTAAAGGGAAAAATACAACTATTTATTTATTCAGTTTTATTTACATATATTTCAACTTTCTCCCAAAAATCATATTAGCATATCCTGCTAATGTGTTAGCATAGTTGTTTTGTTAGGTACCACCAAGCTGCTTCCAACTTATGGTGACCCTATGAATTAACAACTTCCAAAAAATCTCATCATTAACAGCCTTATTCATGTCTTGCAAACATAAACCTATGGGTTCTTTTATTGAGTCAATCCACCACATATTTGGACTTCCTCTTTTCCTGCTGCTTTCATGTTTTCCAAGCTTTATCTTTTCCACTTAGCATAGTTGTTGTTGTTTAGTCATGTCCGACTCTTCGTGACCCCATGGACCAGAGCACGCCAGGCCTCCTGTCTTCCACTGCCTAGGGTCAAATTCATGTTCAATGACATAGCATAGTGACCCTTCCATAAACTGTATAAGGTATGAAAACTGTTTTATCCCTGTTCTGCACCCAACACCCGTTTTAGCAATGAAAAGGAATCAATATTCCATGTTGTTGTTGTTTCACCAGCTCATACACGACCTTAGCCTTATACTTTTCTGAGGGAGGGAAAACAGCAGGGGAAGCCATTCTTCCCCAGTCAAAGGAGGAAACAGCTTGTCTTGAGGAGCGACGGAAAAGCTAAAGAGAATAAATTGCCACCCGTGCCCTGAGGATTACCAGTGTCCTTTTAATCTAATACAATTTTAAAGTTTAGCCAGAGCCGCCCTCGGAAAGCAAAGTCGAGGGATATTTTGAGATTATTATTAATTTTTTAAATTTTTTAAATTTTTTTGGCTTGTCAACTAACCCCCTCTAGTGCCGAACAGGCTGCATTTGACCTGCGGGCTGCTCGCAGCTTCCGAGCGAGGCGCCGGCTCGTTCTCTCCCTCGCGCCTTCTTCTGCCCCCAGAACTGGGCAAACTGGGTCTCGCCTCTTCTCCAGAGGACCACTGAGGAGGTGAGGAGAATCCCGCTCCCTTCATCGCCTGCCTCGCCTCCCGCGCACTCCTTTCATGATCCCGTGCTGGTGCGATTTCCACTCCCCGCCCCGTTTATTTATTTATTTATTTTTCTAAAATATACATCTTTATTTATTCATTCACTCATTCCTTTATTTTGGCGAGGAAGGAAAGCGGAAAACGGGATCCCTGTCCTCCCTCCCCCCCCCCGCAACAAGCGGTGGCCGCTGCCTGGAATGTTTCTCCCTCCCGGGAAACCTGAGCATCCCTCCTCCTTGCCCGGCTTGGACACCAGGTAGCCTTGCTCCTCCTCCTCCTCGCTGATGCCCGAAAGAGGGCTGCTCGCCTTCCAAACGACAACCTTCCACGAGAGCGGGGGGAGGAATCCGTGGTCCGGCCCCACACCGAAGCCGATGGGAAGGCACGGAGATGTCGGTAGGCGCCGGGGAGAAGACCAGCCCAGCTGAGCCGCTTTCTCGACCGCTTGGCGCCACAGAGCGCCCGTCCCAGCCAAGGGGAGCCCGTCGCGGCGGCGGGGAAATCCTGCTTGGCAAGTTTTCCTCACGGCTTGGGCAAAAGGCGCGGAGCTGTCCAGCGTTTCAGCGCCTTTGAACCGGTGGCAGGAGGAGCGGTTTTCCCTCCCCCTCCTTGAAAGCTATCCCCCCCCTTACACACACACACGTACACACACACACTTTCTTTCAGGAGAGAAGGACCTTCCTATCCTTTCCCGGGCGCTGTCGCCTCACGGTTTGAGGCGGGCATGGGCAGCCCACCAGCGGGGCGGAGAGGCTGCTCCGGGGAGGGCGGCCGCCCTCGTGAGGGGATTTGCCGGTGAGGGGGCAGCTACTCTTGGAAGGCTGAGAGAAGAAGCGAGACGGAAGAAGGCACACCGACCTGGATAACCCCCCTTTTCCCTCTCTCTCTCACACACACACATACACACACACATACACACAGAGAGGGGCGCGCTCGCTCGCCCGCACGTACACACAACGCTGGAGCCAGCCTGAAAGTTTGCCCGCTGAGCTCTTTGCCTTCTCAGCGAGCCCTCCGCCTTCTCGACTCAAAGGTGCCCCTTGGCCCTCGGTGGCTGCCGGAAGGCGAGGCGAGGTCTTCTCGGGACGTTCCCTTCCGACCCACCACCCCCGTTGGATGCGCATTTCTCCCGCTTTGGCGGCGCCTGGGAACTTGGACCCTCGTTCCCTTTGGGGCCTGAGGCAGAGCCCATTAGCCTGGAGGAGAGAGAGAAGTTGAAGCCCCCCGCTCCCCTCCTGGGGGCCAGGACGCGGGGGCTGAGGCGCCAGCCATGGGCAGCCGTGAAATGAGAGCTTTCCTGTGGAAATGTAGCCTGCTCTTCCCGCTCTTGACTGCGCGCCCGGGGGGCTGCGGCCACGTCTCCAGCAACCAAGGTAAAGGGCGGGCGAGAAGGGTGGCTGATGGGCTGTCTAGGAGATCATTACTGAATGGGCCAAAAAAGGGGGGGGAGGCACAACCTGTCTAACACCGCAGGGCGGCTGGTGATCAGGGCGACCTCCCACAAGCATTAAAAGAGAGCCCTGGGTCTCCCCGATGGGCTAAAGGGAGCTTTGCTTCATCTGAGCTGCCAACACCAAGCTGACTTGCTACACTTAAGTGACTGACAGAGGGGTTATGTTTTCATCTATGGAGGAAATGAAGTCAGGTTCAGGTGGTAATTGCAGGGTTCCCCTGGCCCTAGCCACGGTGGTGGGTCACTTATGCTGAGGTGATCTGAAGCTGTGTCGCTGATTAGAAACCTAGGTGAAACTTTCGCTCTCCATTTTAGTTGACATAAAGATCTCCAGTTTTGTTTTGCTCAAGTGAAAATGGAGTGAAAATAGCAGAGTGTGAAAATAGGCTGCGAGCTCACAACACCTCTTGATCCAAAGCATTTATTCCTTCACACACAACCCCATTTCTCATAGATGGGTGGGTGGATTTTAAAAACTAATTAAAAAACAGAGGGATCCTGTTTCTTTCATTTTATATGAATGATAGCTTCAAAGCCAAGTTCTCTAATCTTCTGCTCATTTTTGCTCTCTGTTTTGCCTCATCACCATGCCAAGGACATGCCCCCTCTGTTGACATCCTAACACAAGCAGGCTAGGAAGCTTTCATCAAATCAGTTTCTGGACTGTATAGATATTTGAACATTCTAAAGATACAGATATTACTTCTCCAAGTGCAGGGAGGCATCTTTGGGCTTCTGAGGCCCACCTTGACCCCAAAATGTCTCATGTCACTTCAGAAAAACTCTGTGAGGCAGCTTCCAGTGCTTCATAAGAAATGTAATTGTAGGGGAAACCCCAGAAAGCCCCTGTGCAAACCCCTGTGCATGCATAGAAGATTCGGACAACAGCTTTAGCTCTCTGTGGCAAAAGGTAACTGTTACACATGTGGGCATTTAAAATTTGGTGTCTTATCCACATATGCTCATGTGCTTATCTTTGATCATCATTGCCAACCTGATTATTTATACTCTCAAAGGGCAAGATTGTTTCCCATTCTTTATCTTGTTCATCCTCACATCAGTCCTTCATACAGGTTATCCTTTTTCCCATTTATAAATGGAAGACTAAAGCTTCCAGTCAATGAGTGTGTGATTATGCAAACATTTGAACCTATTAAAATGGCATTTAGCAGTCTTGGTTAAACACAGTTGGAAAACTTTCAGGTGGATTTTATTCTTTTCAGGAAACCTCAGGGTAACTCGAAACAAATTATGCCTGTCAGCATAATTGTTCTAATATGAGTTCTCATCAAAGCCATTCTGGTTCCCCTTTTTCTTTTAGGAATTTCATGGTAACCAGCCTTGTTACTGCTTTGTGATCTGTTGGACACTCGTGCTGAGGGGGAAAAGCCACAGAATGTCAACATTTTAACTCCTATTGATTTTTTTAAAAAAATACAGAATTCTGCTCCTTCAGGAGACAGTGGGACATGGCTGCTTGCTTTTATATATACTTTATATATATGAGCAAGGTTAAATTGATGAAGCCTTCTAACTATGAGAATGTCATAAAGAGACCTGTAGTATAAGATAAAAACAGTAATAAATCTGCTTTATGTAAGGCTAAATGCAAGTTTTATTCTTCTTCTTTTTAAGGATTAGTTAGAGAAATTTTCAGTTGGATAATCAAAGCTGTTCTGGACCAAAAAAAGGACAGTCAAGCTGTGGAAACATAGTATATTTTTAAATTCAAACGTCAATTTGAGGCTTGGATTTTGGCTATATCTAATCCAGTTTTCACACAGAGGATGCAATTTACAGATAGTTGCAACTCAATATGGATTGGCTGGTTCCACCTTCAGCAAACAACAGAAGGCTTTTTGTGTATTACCTTATATAGTGAATATTGACACCCGCTGATGTTGCAGTCTTAAAATACCATTTTAAAAGATTATCAAAATACTTTTAGAATTGGTGCCTTGATTGTATGTGCCTGATTCAATTCAGCTGTTGTATCTGTCATGCTATATTTTCATTCTCTGTACAATTTATTCATACCCAAAAGACACTGCTATGTCTAGCTTCATTATAAAAAAGGTAGCAAGAGCTGTTTCTCACCTGACGATGCAATGACTGTTAGCTTTTTGTGCAAAGTCCATACTACTACTGTGTTTTATTTGTGTGGTACATGAATAGAAACACACACACACACACACACACACACACACACAAACACACACGCATATCCAGGGAACATATTTGTAGTGAAGGTCCATTTGACTACCATTTAGAATCATACTATAGTAAAAAAGATATTTTCTTAAATGCTCTCTTATATGGATAAATAGCTATGTGCACAACTGCTAGTAGATAAAATACATTTCCTCATGTTCCACTTTAACTGGTGCATGATGTATTGCAAAATGGCCTACAACAATAATTATAATCTATAACAGCTATGCAATCTTTCTCCAGAAGCTCAAGGCATTTTACACACATCCCTGGTCTGATATTTTGTTATCAGAAATGAATGGCTGCTGTTTTCTTTTTAATTCACCCCATTTGGATCAACTAATATATGTATATAAGAAATCAAATAGTGATTGGTGGATGCTTCCTGTACCAGAACTACCCACACCAGGGAAGCAGGACCTATCCCATGGGATTTCTAACATTCAGAATTTGATCTGATTGCTATGGATGGAAAGCCATAGGGGAATGGTGACCAAGTTGCTTATGTCCATAAGGCTGAGCCTGTAGTAATCTGTTAATCAGCTCTGCAACATAGATGAAGTTTTGTTTGTTCAGTCGTTTAGTCGTGTCCGACTCTTCGTGACCCCATGGACCAGAGCACGCCAGGCCCTCCTATCTTCCACCGCCTCCCGGAGTTGTGTCAAATTCATGTTGGTTGCTTCGATGACACTGTCCAACCATCTCATCCTCGGTCGTCCCCTTCTCCTCTTGCCTTCACACTTTCCCAACATCAAAGTCTTTTCCAAGGAGTCTTCTCTTCTCATGAGAATAGATGAAGTAGGGTTTGTTTATTGTTTGTCATCAGACTCATTAGTCCAAATTAATAATCAGTTTTAATAATTGAGTTCAATAATTAATGCAAATTTCAACACTTACTATATTGTCACCACTATGTTTGGAAAAGTATTTTTGAAAAAAAATGCTGTTACAGTTCTGAGGTAATTATAACAGCAGTCAATTGTTGTTGTTCTTATAATTTTCAAAAAATAACTCTTTACTTTCATGTTTATCAAAAGTAACCAGAAGAGTTTTCGGTTGCTTTTTTTCCAATTTAAATACTGTGAGCCACTACTTGTTGTAGAAAACATACTCTCCTTCCATTTTCTTCATCATTACTGTATCTTAACACCAATAACAAACCATATGTGAACAGCATCAGGCAAAGTTAGAGTCAAGACATGGATCATGTACTAGTCATTCACCATTTAGTGAGCACATATAGCACATAAATATACAAGTAATGAAAAATTAGTTTAACCTCAAAATGAGAGACAATATTCGTTTTAAAATTATTACTGAATGTAATTTTGTTATGTCTTTGTTATTACAAAAAGAAATTAACTACAAGTAACTTGTTAGAAAGCAGGGGAGAATGAGAACCATGTATGCTGCCCTGAGCTCAAAGGAAGAAAGGCAAGCTATAAAAGTAACAAATAAATAAATAAAAATAATAACAACTTATTTTTAACTAGTGACTTCCAGTCTTCGCGAATGCATCCTTTGATCATTTTCTGACTACACTGTCTAAGGCTGAAATCCCAATAAAGACACCTATATAAACCCCTTTATATAGGAAGAGTGTAATGAGTAAATATGAATAAAATTGCACTGTAAGACTCTAAAGGAGGTAGTTTAGGTGACTGCGTATAAAGTTCTTATTAGAAGTAGGTGTCAGTGAATCTGGTGTGATTTATCTATGACCAAACATGTATGGTATTGTGGAATGATTACATTAACCCATGCTACATAATATAAAGATATGCCTTGCAGATGAGAAAAAAAAACTGTTTATGTGGTGCTTTTTAAAATATAATTTTTCTCCTTTTGTACTTTTTTCCCCTCTTTGCATTCTGTCAAATATCTTAAGCAGGAAGATCATACTGTTGATTGTGTAGTTTAAAAATAATAGAATTGTTCATTAGTAAGAACTTCATTAATTTGTTCCTCAAACACAGATAACACAGTACTCACTATGAAGTATATGCCACAGAAGTTTTGTGTCAGCAAGAAGTGTTCTTTTCCAAGTAAGCTGAAAAAATCTTCTTCATTCATGTCAGAAAGAATTCACTGGTGCTTCTGGACAAGAAAACTTCTGGAATTTGAAAATCAGCGGATAGCTGCTGTCATAGCCCAGGGAACACCCAAATGTTATCACATTCCTCTCAGTCTCCTTCCATGTCCCCAATATATAACCCTGAAATAGAATGTTATAAACGAGTATCACAAGAGTAAAACCACAGACTTCATAAACATGCTGGAACAAGCACCAAATATTTATTTTAATGTATTGGATGTTCAAAATAAAGCCAAGTTTTATTGTAACTAAAAAGCTAAAATAACATTTTGAACTTGGTTTTGCTTTGAACATCTTGGACCTCCTTTGTTTCAAAATATTTGGAAACAGTAACAATTTAATGCAGTCATAAAGTAAACATTGCACATGAATGATCCCTTGAAAAATAAAATATTGGTTGTTATGCACAGAGAGGAAACATTTATAACCTTTTATCTCACAGAAATCAGTGGAACTTCATCCTGAAGTAAATTAGTCTGACATCATCAAAATATACAGATTTATATTGGATTACTGTATATCCTTGGAAGAAGAACAGTTTACTATTCACCAATGGAAAAACATAGAGAACTACTTCAGAGAGCTACATAAAGAACCAAGGGCAATTTCTTTTA